GTGTGAGTGAGTGAGTGTGTGTGAGTGTGTGTGTGAGTGTGTGTGAGTGTGTGTGTGTGTGTGAGTGAGTGAGTGAGTGAGAGTGTGAGTGTGTGTGTGTGTGTGTGTGGGTGTGTGTGTGTGTGTGTGTGTGAGTGTGTGAGTGAGTGTGTGTGAGTGTGTGTGTGTGTGAGTGAGTGAGTGTGTGTGAGTGTGTGTGTGAGTGTGTGTGAGTGTGTGTGTGTGTGTGAGTGAGTGAGTGAGTGAGAGTGTGAGTGTGTGTGTGTGTGTGTGTGGGTGTGTGTGTGTGTGTGTGTGTGAGTGTGTGAGTGAGTGTGTGTGAGTGTGTGTGTGTGTGAGTGAGTGAGTGTGTGTGAGTGTGTGTGTGAGTGTGTGTGAGTGTGTGTGTGTGTGTGAGTGAGTGAGTGAGTGAGAGTGTGAGTGTGTGTGTGTGTGTGTGTGGGTGTGTGTGTGTGTGTGTGTGTGAGTGTGTGAGTGAGTGTGTGTGAGTGTGTGTGTGTGTGAGTGAGTGAGTGTGTGTGAGTGTGTGTGTGAGTGTGTGTGAGTGTGTGTGTGTGTGTGAGTGAGTGAGTGAGTGAGAGTGTGAGTGTGTGTGTGTGTGTGTGTGGGTGTGTGTGTGTGTGTGTGTGTGAGTGTGTGAGTGAGTGTGTGTGAGTGTGTGTGTGTGTGAGTGAGTGAGTGTGTGTGAGTGTGTGTGTGAGTGTGTGTGAGTGTGTGTGTGTGTGTGAGTGAGTGAGTGAGTGAGAGTGTGAGTGTGTGTGTGTGTGTGTGTGGGTGTGTGTGTGTGTGTGTGTGTGAGTGTGTGTCTGTGAGTGAGTGTGTGTGTGTGTGAGTGTGTGTCTGTGAGTGAGTGTGTTTGTGTGTGTGTGTGTGTGTGTGTGTGGTGACTATGTGAAAAGCGATGTGGAGTGAGTGAGTGTGTGTGTGTGAGTGTGTGTCTGTGAGTGAGTGTGTGTGTGTGTGAGTGTGTGTCTGTGAGTGAGTGTGTTTGTGTGTGTGTGTGTGTGTGTGTGTGGTGACTATGTGAAAAGCGATGTGTAAACGTAAAGTCTTCTCTCCCGTGGAGTGGATCAACAGTCCTCCTCCTCCTCTGACCTTTTCAGGAAAACCCCTAATCATCTATTATTATCTGTGTTTGGGCCGTTTAATTGTTCTCTTGATATGTATTGGCCTGCAGGATTCAAACACAAATCAGTCTCCATGACAACAGGCCACTTTCTTCACTGGAATTACTGAAAGCATATAAAGATAAATCAATCAATAAAGTTCTCCTGAGTAAATAAATAGCTCCTTCGTTCGAGAGCGTGGTGCGCTGATGTAAAGTTCTGTGTGAATGCTCTGCTCACATTAGCTCAACAGCAGCTGATAACACAGAGGCACGGGACTGAAGACTTTAAGTTGAAATGCTCCGTCTCATCATGTTCCAGACGGGGTTCGAACAGCAGGAGTCGGCCAGAGCTCAAATTAAACCACTCTATTCTGAGTCACTCACAGCCACACGTCACACGAGTTGTTAGGATTTGCTCTGTTTTATTGGCTACTGTTGTGTTCTGGTCTTCATTTGGCTTTAAGGACATCATAGTTTCATTTGTACATTTGTGAAAAAGAAGTGCACTTAATTGAATTAAATTAGCACTTTTAGTGAACTTCAAAAAGTATTAAAAACTGTCCATGTAGATAATATAATATGAATTAAATAAAAGGCCACTTAAGTGAATTGAAGAGAGGCACTTTAAAAGAGTGACCTTTGTCAAATATAAAATGTATTTAAACCATTGTTTGAATAATCATTTAACGTGCTTTAATGAAGTACACTTATTTTAATGTGTTGACTAACATACTCCTAAAGCATATGTAGAGTACTTGATTTTTAGTGTGTTAATGGACATTACCTTTAAAGTTAATATTTTTGAAATATAGTAAATTACAGCTTCATCATCACAAAATGCATGGCATACAAGCATCAACAGAAATGACTTTAATAAAAGCCCGTCAGTACATTCAGCAGCACTTTAACCAAAGACAATAGAATTGTCATAACTGTTATGAAATTACATATAACGATGCTCTCAAGCACTACTTGCGTGGGTGAAAAACACTGCTAACTGCATTTAATATTAATTTGAAAAGGACATTGTGATACAGGGTTCAGAAGCTTTCTGTTTGCTTTACTGAGAAAATCACTGGAGCTGCCTTGAAATGTCAGACGTGTTGCTTTTGTATCAGACTGTGCCAATGATTGCAAAATGTCCCAGATGTTCAGTGTTGCAGATGTGATGTCTTACAGACGGCAGGTTAGCAGTCCTGCCCTCGAGTCTGTGTGGGGTTTATCAGGACTCTCCTCTGCTTTTATCTTTGAACCTCGCAGAGCCTGTGGGAGTGGATTCCACACGCGTGATGACTCGCAACGTCTCTTATTGAAGATCTGCTGCATGTCTTCTAGATGTCTCACATCAGCAGGAATGAACTGATCTGCTGCGCTGACCGCTGAGGGAATGTGAGTCAAAGTGAAGAAATCCTCACTGCAAAGCCAGCGGTTTGTACGAGCTTCCCCTCACACTGAGTAACGTTTGTTTTGACAATAAAAAAAACTTGGTCTCAACTCAATTCCATTAACCAGACAACCAGACACCAGTTAAAGAGAGAGTTTGCTCATCGTCATGTTGTTCCAAACTTGTATGGCTTTCTTTCTTCTGTGGAACACAAAGGAGGACATTCTGAGGAATCTTCATGCTGCTCTTTTTTACATAATCAAACTATTTAAGGAGTAGTTCACCCCAAAATGAAACTCTGTAAATGTGCTCACTCTCAGGCCATCTGAGATGTAGGTGAGTTTGTTTCTTCATCAGGTTTGGAGAAATGTAGCACTGCATCAGTGTCTCAGCAATGGATGCTCTGCAGTGAATGGGTGCCGTCAGAATGAGAGTCCAAACAGCTGATTAAAAACATCACAATAATCCACAGCACTCCAGTCCATCAGTTCACATCTGGAGAAGACAAAAGCTGAAACACATCCAGCATTAAGATGCTTTTAACTAAAATACATTGAGTCCATAATCCATAATAACACTTGCTCCAGTGAAGGCTCTCTGACGGCACCCATTCACTGCAGTGACAGAATGCTACATTTCTCCAAATCTGATGAAGAAACAAACTCATCTACGTCTCGGATGAAGACATTCATTTTGGGTGAACTATTCCTTTAAGGACTATCAAGCGCCAATAATAATAATAATAAAAATACTATAAAATATTCAGTTCTTCTGAAGTCATTTGAAAGCTTGAATTGAATTGAAGCTGTTTCACTTTTGAGACAAGCAAGAACCAGCGCCATGTTTGGTTATTGGCAAAGTTAAAAATGTGCAAAAACATTTGCTGTCACTAAGCTTTTACTGATTAATTGGCTTGCATAATGTCATTATCCTTAAACAATCTTTTAATGCATCAAATCTCAGTATCCACAAGCACAAAATATGTTTCCTATTTGTTGCTGCAGATGGTGTAATACCCTTAAAAATTGGGCAGCAATTTTAGGAAAGTCCTTGTCATCCTCAAATCTGAAAGAAAAATGATTTCATGCAGATCCATCGAGAATTGCCACATTCACTGTTGGAGCAACACAACCTCAGACGTCTGGCACAGCTCTAAAATCAGCTGTTTACTCATCTGAGACGTCTGAGGATTTCAGTGTTACACAGCTGCAGGTGATGGCCATTAAACAACCGTACAGCATCCAGTAAATCACTCACTCACTCGCTGTCATGTGTCATGTGTTTCATATGCTTGTCCAGCACACATTTAGAAATATATCCCACACAGCAGCTCACTGCTTGGACATGCAGACGTGATCTCAGAGCTGAGAGTTGTCAGAATCATCAGCTTAGCTGAACGCTGAACGATTGAGCCGCTGAGATACGTCTAGCAGAATTGTTGGGTGTAAATGATTTAGTGTCGAGATGCTGCAGTAATCACACAGACATGATGATTCTCTCACTCTTAAACACTGTAGTGTGTTAGAACATCTGCTTGATGAGACATAAGATTACTTATTTCAGTAATCAATATTTTATCTGCTATTTTGTATGTAATGCTATGTTTAAGGCCCCAGAATGTATCTGGATAATAAAGTCACTCTTTAATACATATACACAGTCATTTTAATGTTAATTCACTTTGTAGTGTATATTACAAGGATGGGTTTATTTATTTGTGATTAATTTAAATTTTAATTATAATGTTATTTAAAAATACAATTATGTATAGGTAAATAGCTTAAAGTTTTGACTACATAAAATAAAAAGTTAATTATATAGGTGAAGTCAAGGCCTGTTGTAACACTATATGGGTACAGTAAGCCGTTAAATGTGTGGTGTTTAATAGCTTTTAAGCAAAAATTGAGTTCAAAACACGCAAATCTGTTTATTAAAAAGCAAAAATGGAAGGTAGCATATGCATAAACATGTTTTCAGCCTTTATACTTTGCTCATGTGATAACATCATGTGTGACAACTAGCCCCAGTCTCTCCACGCTGTTCAGAATTAAGAGTATTTCAGCATATTTTTGGAGCTCAGATGTAAGCGGGTCGTGTTCATGAGATGAATTACAGCCGTGGTCCGTCTGCTGGGACACAGAATCAACTTACTGTAAGAACTTACATGTACTAAAACAGAAAATAGGCTAATCAGAAAAAAAGAAGAAGAACATCTCAGAATGAGCTCTGAGAAAAGCTCTTGTAGCTCTTGGTTTAATACTTTATTAACCGATGCAATGACGTCCATTCACTTTTGTGTCATTTCAGGACTACTGTACATTATATCTATCTGTCTTCTAATAGATGCACAACTAAACTACTTGTTCATTAGCATGGTCTTGTACACAGCACAGCCTGCCGTTACACACTCCACATCTAGATTGCATTCATGCATACATGCTGCAGAGTGATTTAGATGTGAGGAGAGCGTGGAGCCCGAGCAGATGTTTGCTAGGTGAGGGGGGCTGAGGAGGAGGGAGCTCGGGTCGTATTTCAGTGTTTGAGCGAGTCTGGATGAGCTGAGACTGCTGTGTTCCAGTGGAGCTGCTGGATCAGGAGCAGAAGAGTCTCTGTGACAGAGCGAGACATGGGGCCACACTCATCTGCTTCTGACAAGCATCTCGCCTCATCTTTATTTCTCATCAGCAGAGCCATCACTTTCCTGACTGTGTGCTTCTGTTCTCCTGGGATCGCCTTCCAGCACTCTGAGTCAGGTTTGGCACATCACTCACATGTTCTAGAGAACACACCACACGTCTTTTTATGCCGTACACGTTTATATTAGACGCAGAAAGTGTGGTTAGAGGTGGGGTGTCCGATTCTTTTGAGTCTTTTTAATGAGTCGGTTCGCAGCTGAATCTGTCCGAGCGGTTCTCGAGTCAACTCACTGACTCACTACAGGAGAATCGACGCGTGCGTGCGTGCGTGCGTCATGGCGTTGTTGTGCTATTTATGAGGACTAATGATGTAAGTTACTTTAATAACCGTTTAGCAGAAATGTAACGCATGAAACGCGCTGGAGATGTGTTTATGAGCTGATTTTATGATAGATTTCTCCTGTCAATGAAAAGGAATTGATTTTAATAAACAACAGCTTTTTATTACTCGCGAGATGTAAATTAGTACTTTTAGTAGCCTGATGTAAAAGCTAATTATATTTCATTTCTAAATGATTGTTCTTATAATCTTAATCATGTCTGTAACAAGTATACATTTACAAAACACACATATGAATTAAACACAATTGGAAAAATTCGCTGTTTAGAGCGCGTGAACTTGACTCATAAGGCTTGTTCGAGATGATCGGCGTATGACGTCACAGTACCGCGATCTGTTTTGATCCGATTCTTAGAAATGAACTTCGACTGAATCGATTCGCAGAAATGAACTTCGACTTGTAAAAGCTAATTATATTTCATTTCTAAATGATTGTTCTTATAATCTTAATCATGTCTGTAACAAGTATACATTTACAAAACACACATATGAATTAAACACAATTGGAAAAAAGTTTAGAGCGCGTGAACTTGACTCATAAGGCTTGTTCGAGATGATCGGCGTATGACGTCACAGTACCGCGATCTGTTTTGATCCGATTCTTAGAAATGAACTTCGACTGAATCGATTCGCAGAAATGAACTTCGACTGAATCGATTCGCAGAAATGAACTTCGACTGAATCGATTCTTAGAAATGAACTTCGACTGAATCGATTCTTAGAAATGAACTTCGACTGAATCGATTCGCAGAAATGAGCCAGAGTTCCGAAGTTGCAGTAACCGGTTTTATTCCTGTAGTAATCTGTTTCACAAACCACCAAACTATTTTAACATTGTTTTCATGTTTTCTGTCAGCTTTAATGTAATCTAAATTTAAGATTCATTTCAAATCTACGGAGCCACTAAGGGGACATGGTGGAAGAAGAAAAAATGAGAGGGGAGGAAAATGTTTACTTTAATGCTTTTGTGTTTACTTGCAAAAGTTTTGCATTCTCTTAAAAAAAGGGGGTTTTGCTCGTGAATGCAAAAGATCTTTCCTCTCATCTCATGTTTTACTGACCACACCACGCGCTTTCAGAGTAGCTACATGTACAAATCAAGGCTTCATGTGGATGTATTTTGTTAGTAGCTGTGCAATAGTGGGACATTTTTGTCATCATTAAGAAATAAACCCCTTCAGGGTGATACGAGACAGAACAGACAGGTGAATGAATGAATCATATTGAGCTCAGATGTGCGTGATGAAGATGATGATGATGTGCGCTGACACTGCAGAACCCAATGAACTGTTGCTGCAACATGATTTATTCATTTATGTCCATACTTGCTATTTTTCTAGAGTTTCTCCTTGGTAGTTTTAAGACACTGTGTCCAGGTGAGGCAGCTCAAGGTCACAGAACCCCATTTCTTTACCTCAGTTACCCTCATGATGACCGATCGCTGGCACATCACTCCGTTCGTTCGGTCACACTGTTATGACAAGCGGCGGAGCCGGAGGACTCTTCCCTCAGAATGACACCATGTCCACAAAAGCTGTATTGTGTTCCATCTGTAAAATAACGCAGAGCTGTTCATACTCGGTCCAAACGGGACGCGTGCCAAAGGATCGCATTCTTGACCTGGTTTTATGTTAATAATGAACTTAATATGTTTTGAGGAATGGCTTGGCTGTTATTAACGGGCTTCAATAACACTGCAGTTCACTTACACCGAACGCAGGAGAAAAGCTTCAGAGTGTGAACTTACTGGGGTAGTTCATCTGCAGACTGATTTGTTTTGGACCCCATTGACTTTCATTGCATGGACAGAAACCCTATGAGGATGGGTAAATGAACAGAGGTTTAGTTTTGAGGTGAACTATTGCTTTAAGTTTGAGGAAAGAGTGTGATGTTCCTCCCACAGTTCTAGAGCTTTCAGATTCAGATTTCACCAGAGCTCCTGTGATATATGATGATAGATGATTGTGAAGCGCTCGGCCAGACCAATATTTCATATTCCGGCCTTCTGAATGTACTGTAAAAGAGCAGCTGCTTTTCTAAATCTGATGTTTGTTTGATGCAACTTCACATCTTAGACTCCGTTTGGTCTCTTTACTGCTTCTTGCTTATTAACTTTCTATCTTCATGTCCACGTCTGATCTTTATATTATGTTATATTGTTGTAGCCTGATTAATAAAGACGTTTTTGATTAGTCCTAATAGTGTGAGACACACTTATGTTGTTGAGGAGTTTCTCTTCTTAAAATAAAGTTTCGAAATAGGGATTTTGCAGCAATGCCGGAACCATTTTTGGTTCCCCAAAGAACCTTTCAGTGAACAGTTCTTAAAAGAACCAATTTGTGTTAGTGTGAAGAAGATTTGAAAGAATCTCAAGAATCTTTTGTCCAGTGGAAACGCTTCAATGCCAGTCAAGGTCCTTTCATTTTAAGAGTCTAGTAGCTGTAAAGTGTTTAGTGCAGTGTAATATGCAAGGAGTTGTTGAGATTAATAAACCAGTCTAATTATATAATCTGACCTAATTTGTTAGTTTCTAATGGTGTTCAGTGAATGATGTGAATGAAATAGTTTTATGCAGCATGTCATTTCTGTGCTCACTGTAAATCTTCACTCAACATTATTAGCTGATGAAATAGCACTATTTCTTGTTCTGTAGAGTTGATATTCTTGTGTAACATCTAGCTGTGGTTTTCTGAGGTTTGACAGTCGTACAGTCACAGTAGTTGCGGGTTCTTCTGAGGCTTTGACAGGATCTCCAGGTGCTTTAATGCGGTCGAGGGGAAAGTAATTCACCTGCTCATCTGTTTGCATATAAAAAGGACTTCCTTCATATTCTTTGGCTTTACAATGTTCCTTAGACATTTGAAGAAGATAGAGATCACATTTGTAAGCAGAATCAGCTATCTGAATATATACAATACACTTTATTATGTACTTACATGTTTATTCCCTTATATGTTTATATATTTGCTGTCTTCTTCCTCCAAATTTATCAATATCCAAGTGTACATAAAGCGCTTCCTCCTTGCACTGGCTTAAATCCAACAATGATATGAGCGGTCAGAGACCACCGTGCCTGCTCTTCTTTTTCATTTATCACAGACAGAACGGACTTTACCAAGACAGGTGTGTGTGTGTGTGTGTGTGTGTGTGTGTGTGTGAGTGTATCTATCGTGCTGTCAAACAAAAGTTTAATAAAAGTTTTTGTTTGCATAATATATGTGTGTTTTCGGTGTATATTTATTATGTATATATATAAATACACACACATACAGTATATATTTTGAAAATATTTACATGTATTTACATTTCTATATTTATATTCATATAATTTACATTGTAAATAAATATATTTAATTTATAAAATAACATATTTTTCTGAAATATATACATGCATGCGTGTGTATTTACATATACATAATAAATATACACAGTACACACACATATGTAAACAAAAACTTTTATTTTGGATGCGATTAATCACGATTAATCGTTTGACAGCACTAATATATATATACGTTTTTTTTATTTATTTTTTTTATTCATGCGATATGTGATGGTACCCTAATATAATATAATTGTCGCTACCTGAATGTTTCTGGAGTGATATTTGGTTGTAAAATGTGGTTTCCACTCTTCTAACCAATTACAATCCGTGCGTACAGAAAGGGATGACCATATTTAGCTGTGTTATGCACACGGCACACGACCACTGTTTCCTTCAGGCCAAGAAGTCAAATGAGGCCTGTTTATCTTCTGTCATTGTGCAATCAGAATAACAGCTGAGCAATCCAATCCTGTACCATCTCCAGTATGCTTAATATCAACACACTCCTGTCCTGGGTCACACTGTCTGCTCAGAGCTGCTCCTGCTGTCTACATCACACTTAAGATATAGCAAGAGCACTTCATAACACACATATATATTATATACAGTACCATCCTCCCCGTTCCCTTACAGATGATGTTTAAGTGTTCATATTTCCAAAGAGCATGAAAAGGTTAAAATAGCAGTTTGCACTCGTACCTACCTATCCTTTTCCTATTATGTCATCACAACAGGAATGTTCAAACAGAGGATTATCTTTGCCATCCGGGCAGGGAAGTCTGACTGGAGAGAAGGAATAACACGAATGAAATGTCCATGAGACACAAACCACAACAGGAAAGCATGACTGGATGGTTCCATGGCCATAATAGAAAAAACACACTCCCATTGTACTCAGCCTAATTGTTTGCATTTGCCATACAGACGCCCCACTGATCTTTCACCTTCGGAAAATATACATTTTGTTTTCTTCCTATGGGTTTTTATTTTAGAGACATTATATAAACACTATATAATGGAACAGTACTTATACTTCTAATACTACTAAATTGTAATGTTCCTTTCTAGCTGATTATTGAAATCTTAAGCTCTGACTCATGCTTGAGTTTGTGTAGAGAGATAGTTATTTCAATCCAGACCTCTTGCAAAAACATGCCAGGCATTTCTAAAAGAGAGCTCTTTTATCGTGACTCTTGTTCAACGGATTTGTACCCGAGCACTTCACATGCTGGTGTTCATTTCTGCTGGAAACTGCAGCGATCTCTATATGTTTTTGTGGGAATGTATGTAGATGCACATTTTGGACCTGTGTTGGCTGGTTTGCTGTGAATAGTGTTACTATCAGTGAACTAGCTATTCGTCAGCAGCGATGTTAAACTCACACATATGGAA